ACTTGAGCGCGAACTGGGACCTGGAACAGTGGGAACAGGGATGCAGGGATGCAGGGAGGGATGCATGGATGGATGCATGGATGCAGGGATGCATGGAGGGATGCATGGAGGGATGCAGGGATGCATGGATGGAGGCATGGATGCAGGGAGGGATGCAGGGATGCAGGGAGGGATGCATGGATGCAGGGATGCAGGGATGGATGCAGGGATGCATGGATGGAGGCATGGATGCATGGATGGATGCATGGAGGGATGCAGGCACGGCATCCGCTGGGCGTCAGCGGCCTTCAGGACCATGGACAGCGCCCGCGAAGGGATGCACGGGGATGGATGGATGGGGTCGGGATGCACTGGGATGCACTGGGATAAATGGGGTTGGGATGCACTGGGATGCACTGGGATAGATAAGGTCAGGATGCACAGGGATAGACAGGGTTGGGATGCATCGGGTTGCACTGGGATAAATGGGGTCAGGATGCACTGGGATAGACAGGGTCAGGATGCACCGGGATGCACTGGGATAAACAGGGTTGGGAGGCACTGGAATAGATGGGGTTGGGATGCACTGGGATAGACAGGGTTGGGATGCACCGGGTTGCACTGGGATAAATGGGGTCAGGATGCACTGGGATAAACAGGGTTGGGATGCACTGGGATGCACCAAGCCAGGCCGGGTACCACCATTCCCCCCCCCTCCCTGCATCCCCATCCCCATCCCCCTCAATGCCATCGCCGCGCATAGGGAGGGGGACGTGGGGGGGGTAGGACCAGGCCCTGTGTGTGCGGATGTGGATGTGAATGGGATGGAATAGGATGGAATGGGTCGAACTGGGATGAACTGGGATGAACTGGGATGGGGTAGGTGTGCTCCTCACCTGAATCCCGCCTGGAACATGTACATGCGGGGCCCGGCGGCCCGGGGGGGCCCGAAGGCGCTGTCCTTGCGCAGGGCCGCGTAGCTCAGGAGGGAGAGGATGAGGAGGGCGAGGCTGAGCATGAGCAGCCCCAGGGCGCTGCCCACCCGCAGCATCCTGCAGCTCCGCATGGGGTACTGGGGGTACTGGGGGTACTGGGGATACTGGGGATACTGGGGATACTGGGGATGAATGAATGGGGATAATGGGGGGGGGTGGGTCCGAGCGGAGCCGAGCAGGAAATGGATGGATGCAGGGGGAAGAGGGAGGGGGAAGGGCAAGGCAATGGAAGCCGGGAAGGGAAGGAACGGGAACGGGAACGGGAACGGGAACGGGAAGGGGATGGGGATGGGAAGGGGACGGGCGGGCCCGTGGGAACCCCCCCCCCCAGGGGATCCCGTTGGACACAGGGCATCCCCTATTAGACACAATGGACCCCCATTAACCCCAATGCACCCCCCATTAAGCTCAATGCACCCCCATTAAGATCAATGCACCCCCATTAGCCCCAATGCACACCCATTAGCCACAATGCCCCCTATTAAGCCCAATGCCCCTCTATAAGCTCCAATGCACCCCATTAAGCCCCAATGCACCCCCATTAGACCCAATGCACCCCCCATTAGCCCCAATGTGCTCCCATTATGCCCAATGCAACCCCATAAGCTCCAATGCCCCCTATTAAGCCCGATGCCCCCTATTAGCCTCAATGCACCCCCATTAAACCCAATGCCTCCATTAACCCCAATGCACCCCCATTAAGCCCAATGCACCCCCATTAACCCCAATGCACCCCCATTAGACCCAATGCAACCCCATTAGCCCCAATGCAACCCCATTAGGCCCAATGCCCCCCCATTAATCCCAATGCCCCCCATTAAGCCCAGTACCCCCTATTAGCTTCAATGCCCCCCATTACACCCAATGCCCCCCATTAAACCCAATACTCCCCCATTGGCCCCAATGGCTTCAACACAGGGCTGAGCTTCCCAGTGGGAGCTGGTGATCCATAGGGAGCATCCTTAGTGGGTGATCCCATAGGGGTGATCCCATAGAGGTGATCCCATAGGGGTGATCCCATAGAGGTGATCCCATAGGGGTGATCCCATAGAGGTGATCCCATAGAGGTGATCCCATAGGGGTGATCCCATAGAGGTGATCCCATAGGGGTGATCCCATAGGGGTGATCCCATAGAGGTGATCCCATAGGGGTGATCCCATAGGGGTGATCCCATAGAGGTGATCCCATAGGGGTGATCCCATAGGGGTGATCCCATAGAGGTGATCCCATAGGGGTGATCCCATAGGGGTGATCCCATAGAGGTGATCCCATAGGGGTGATCCCATAGGGGTGATCCCATAGGGGTGATCCCATAGGGGTGATCCCATAGAGGTGATCCATGTCATTCCATGTCATTCCAAGTGTACCCCAGCATCCCCAATGCAGGGATCCAGGCTGGGAAGCACACTGCACACCCCAAGCTCCCATCCCTTGGGATCAATGGGGAAGCCTGCCAGCATCCCAATGGGAATGCCATGGGATTTAGGGCTGGCTTTGATGCTGGCAGTGCCTTATCCTGCCTTTTTCCCCTTGGGAATCCATCCTGGAATGGGAATGGGGTCCCTAAGGGAGCAGAGGCCTTTGCTTATAGGGATGCTGAGGACGGGAGCCCTGCTATTCCATGAGAATTCCCGGTTTCCCCCCTTGTTCCTAAGGGAATGGGGGTGCCCCTCCCTGCTCTTACCCTCTGGAAAGGGATATTCCTTAGGGATGAGCTTTAGGATCCCTTCACCCCAGCAAAGCCAATGGGGACGAGGCTTGGACCACTGGCAGGGGATGCTCCTTGCTTTTCCAAGCTCAAATCCCATGGGAATCACCTCTGGAACGGAGCAAACTGCCCAAGGGGATGGGGGGGAAGGCTTGGATCCCATTGGGACCGGGCTGGATCCCTACCTGGAGATGCTGGGAGCACTGGGAATGCCGTGGCCAGGCTGTCCTTAAAAGGCTTGAGTTTTCCATAAGGAACACTGTGGGAAAGCTGGGATTGCATTGGGAAGTGATTCCCAAGCTCTGGAATGAGGGCATCCTCTGGAGCCCCCCCCTTTATGGGATGATTTACCTCGGTCCATGCGGATCCCATTGCTGCATCCCAAGGTTTCGGAGGAGGCCGCTCGGCTTCATGGGATGGATCCCATGGATCCTTTTCCCAATGGGAATGCCACAAAGCCAAGGTTTTCCCATTCCAGCTTTATTCCCCCCCCCAATAACAGCGAAATCCATACGGATACAGAGCAGGAAAACCGGGATGCGCTGAAGCCGGAGCATCCCACCCCACTCTCTTCCTTTGGGATCATCCATGGCTCTGGAAAACCAAGCACGACGACGAGGTTACACTGGGATCAGCCTGGAAACACTGGGAATAGCACTGGGAACACCATTGGGAACACGGATCGCCTTGCACTGGGATGGGAATTGGGATACCTACCGTGAGCATGGAGGCCTTGCTTTTCCTATTGGGAATTCCAAGTGGTTTTGATAGGGAAGCGGGCGGCATTCCCGTTGGGAAGGGAAACATGGATGTGGCCCTATCCCATAGGCATGCAATGGGGGGGGGGATGGGAGGAAGGAGCCATTCCCAAAGGGGCTTCCTTTGATCCCTATGGATTTGGGAATCACTTCCCGACCCGGACCAGGGAGCATTGAGCACCCAAACCCCAATCCCAAATCCCATGGGAACGCATGGACTCCAAGGAGGTTTTTTTGCTGGGATAACGGGGATGCTGCATCATTCCCGGAGCTTTTCCAAGGAAAAAGGTGGCTTCCACCTGGAGAAATCCTTTGGGAATGCGGGAGAAGAGCCAGGAAATCCCTATGGAAAGAAAAAGGCTTCCATTGGAGCCATTCCCATCGCTGAGCCCTTATCCCAAAGGATACCATGGAGGGCGCCATGGGATGGGAATGGCGTGGGAAAAATGGGAATATCCCCCTTTGGAGTGGGAATATCGCCCTTTGGAGTGGGAATATCCCCTTTGGAGTGGGAATATCCCCCTTTGGAGTGGGAATATCGCCCTTTGGATTGGGAATATCGCCCTTTGGAGTGGGAATATCGCCCTTTGGAGTGGGAATATCCCCTTTGGAGTGGGAATATCCCCCTTTGGAGTGGGAATATCCCCCTTTGGATTGGGAATATCGCCCTTTGGAGTGGGAATATCCCCCTTTGGAGTGGGAATATCCCCTTTGGAGTGGGAATATCCCCCTTTGGAGTGGGAATATCGCCCTTTGGAGTGGGAATATCCCCTTTGGAGTGGGAATATCCCCCTTTGGAGTGGGAATATCCCCTTTGGAGTGGGAATATCCTCCTTTGGAGTGGGAATATCGCCCTTTGGAGTGGGAATATCCCCTTTGGAGTGGGAATATCCCCCTTTGGAGTGGGAATATCCCCCTTTGGATTGGGAATATCGCCCTTTGGATTGGGAATATCGCCCTTTGGAGTGGGAATATCCCCTTTGGATTGGGAATATCCCCCTTGGAGTGGGAATATCCCCTTTGGAATGGGAATATCCTCCTTTGGAGTGGGAATATCCCCCTTTGGAGTGGGAATATCCTCCTTTGGAGTGGGAATATCCCCCTTTGGAGCGGGAATATCCCCCTTTGGAGCAGGAATATCCCCTTTGGATTGGGAATATCCCCCTTTGGAGCAGGAATATCCCCTTTGGATTGGGAATATCCCCCTTTGGATTGGGAATATCCCCCTTTGGAGTGGGAATATCCCCTTTGGAGTGGGAATATCCCCTTTGGAGTGGGAATATCCCCCTTTGGAGCGGGAATATCCCCCTTTGGAGTGGGAATATCCCTATTTGGAGTGGGAATATCCCCTTTGGAGTGGGAATATCCCCCTTTGGAGCGGGAATATCGCCCTTTGGAGCGGGAATATCCCCCTTTGGAGTGGGAATATCCCCTTTGGAGTGGGAATATCCCCCTTTGGATTGGGAATATCGCCCTTTGGAGCGGGAATATCCCCCTTTGGAGTGGGAATATCCCCTTTGGAGCTTGGAAATCCCTATGGAATGCCATTGGGGGTTACCTTAGACCAGGAAGCGATGCTCCTTGCCATCATGGGCCATGAGGATGACGTTCCTATTGGAAGTCCAGATGAGGCGGGCCAGGCGCAAGGCATTGTGGGAGCCCGGCGAGGCCGGCTGCACTGGGGGGACCTGGTAGGTTTTGATGCAGCGGAGCTGGGGGGCCGAGTTGAGCATCCCAATGCTGCCCAATAGGGAGGTGTTCATCTGCAATGGGAGCAATGGGGGGACATCCCCAGATCCATCATGGACCCATCCCCATCTCCCCCATGGACCCATCCCCATCCCCACCATGGACCCATCCCCATCTCCACCATGGAACCATCCCCATCTCCATCATGGACCCATCCCCATCTCCACCATGGACCCATCCCCATCTCCACCATGGACCCATCCCCATCTCCACCATGGACCCATCCCCATCTCCCCCATGGACCCATCCCCATCCCCACCATGGACCCATCCCCATCCCCATCATGGAACCATCCCCATCTCCACCATGGACCCATCCCCATCTCCACCATGGAACCATCCCCATCTCCATCATGGAACCATCCCCACCATGGACCCATCCCCATCTCCACCATGGAACCATCCCCATCCCCACCATGGACCCATCCCCATCCCCATCCTGGAACCATCCCCATCTCCCCCATGGACCCATCCCCATCCCCACCATGGACCCATCCCCATCTCCACCATGGAACCATCCCCATCCCCACCATGGACCCATCCCCATCCCCATCATGGAACCATCCCCATCTCCCCCATGGACCCATCCCCATCCCCATCCTGGAACCATCCCCATCTCCACCATGGACCCATCCCCATCTCCACCATGGACCCATCCCCATCTCCACCATGGACCCATCCCCATCTCCATCATGGACCCATCCCCATCTCCATCATGGAACCATCCCCATCCCCACCATGGACCCATCCCTATCCCCATCATGGACCCATCCCCATCTCCACCATGGACCCATCCCCATCTCCATCATGGACCCATCCCCATCCCCACCATGGACCCATCCCCATCCCCATCATGGACCCATCCCCATCTCCACCATGGACCCATCCCCATCTCCACCATGGCACCCATCCCCATCTCCCCCATGGACCCATCCCCATCTCCACCATGGACCCATCCCCATCTCCCCATGGAACCATCCCCATCTCCACCATGGACCCATCCCCATCCCCCATGGACCCATCCCCATCTCCACCATGGACCCATCCCCATCTCCACCATGGAACCATCCCCATCATGGACCCATCCCCATCTCCACCATGGACCCATCCCCATCTCCACCATGGACCCATCCCCATCTCCCCCATGGACCATTCCCATCCCTCCCCGTTGCAGCTATCCCTATGGATACAGGGATGGATCCCAGCTTACCTGCCAGAAGCAGAGGTGGCTGTCAGCATTGGAATAGGTGGCCAGGTACCGGCCATCAGGAGCAAAAGCCACTGCGGTGATGGGGCCTTTGTGGCCATGGATAGTCTGGGAAAGAGGGAAAAGACAAGGAATGGGGTTGGGCATTCCCAGTATGAGCTTTGGAGCACATCCCTATGGAAAACGGGAATGGGGGCCTCTCTATGGCACCCATCCCCTATTGAACACCATTGCCCTCTCCATCCCCATCCAATGGCTTCCAAAGGGAGGCAGGACCAATGGGATAGTGGGGAATGGGAGGGGAGAGGTTGGGATTTGGGGGAAAAGGGGGGTATTTAGGGAAACCCTAAGGATAAAGGCCTGGAATTCCATGGCTTACCTGGCACTTCCCAGTGCGGATGTCATAGAGGGCCACGGAGCCATGGCGAGCTCCCACCGCGATCCTATGGCTCCGCTCGTAATAGCTCACCATATAGAACCTGGGAGGAACAATGGGATACAGGGAATGCCGATGGGATCAGAGGGTGGGAACTGCAAGCATGGTGTGGGGTGGGAGAGAGCTTAACACCGGGACGTGTTTAATCCCGTCCCCATCCAACTGGTTCTATCCCAGTTTGGCGTCCCTATAATCCAATGGGGATGCGCTTGAAGGACCCATTCCCATGGGATTCCCACCTGCAGATGGCCGGGAAGCATTCCTGGAGGCCTTTCTTCTTGAGCAAGGAGCCCTCCAGACAGTACATGACGATGTCCATCACCTGCAAGGGGGACGGGAGGCACCCGCGTCATTCCATAGGGAAACGGGGTTCCCATTGGCGCATCCCTAGGGAGCAGCTCACCTCCACCAGCAAATCCACCACATCCATGGGCATCTTCTCAATGAGGATCTCCAGCACCCTCAGGATCTCCCCTTTGGCTCTGCAGAGGGTGGGCGTGTGGACGGCGGCTTGGGATTGGCTGTTGGCAGCCAGAGCGGTGTGCCGGTGCACCTGGGAGAGGGCAGGGATGCGACTGGGATGCACTGGGGCTGCCCGTTGCCGTGGGAAGGGGGGGGAGGGGGAAATCCCATGGGAAAAGGGGGGGCTGGGGTCTCACCTCCTTGGCTATGGTGGTGATGAAGGCCGGGGGCCGGGCGGTGGCGATGAGGGCCAGAGCGTGGCGAGCCGAGCGGGCCGAGTCGGCAGCGGGGCTCAGGGGGAGCCCGGGGGTGATGCTGAGGAAGAGGATGAAGGTGAGGATGGGATCATGGGATGTGATTCCCTATGATGGGAATGGGATGTTGGAATGGGTGGGAAGGAGATGCTGGGGATGCTGCATCCTCAAAGCGATGCTGTGATGCAATGGGGACCGATTGGTACCCAAGCGCTGGACCAGCACCAGGGGTGATGCTGAGGATGAGGGGATGAAGGTGAGGATGGGATCATGGGAACTGATTCCCTATGATGGGAATGGGATGTTGGATGGGTGGCAAGGAGATGCTGGGGATGCCCCATCCTCAAAGCGATGCTGTGATGCAGTGGGTACCGATTGGTACCCAAGCGCTGGACCAGCACCAGGGGTGATGCTGAGGATGAGGAGGGGGATGAAGGTTAGGATGAGGTTATGGGATGCTATTCCCTATGATGGGAATGGGATGTTGGAACGGGTGGGAAGGAGATGCTGGGGATGCTCCATCCTCAAAGCGATGCTGTGATGCAATGGGTACCGATTGGTACCCAAGCGCTGGACCAGCACCAGGGATGATGCTGAGGATGAGGGGATGAAGGTGAGGATGAGGTTATGGGATGTTATTCCCTATGAGGGGAATGGGATGTTGGATGGGTGGGAAGGAGATGCTGGGGATGCTTGTGTGTGTGTGGTGGGGGTTGGTGGTGGGGGGGTGTGTGGGTGAGGATGAGGGGATGGGATCATGGGAAGTGATTCCCTATGAGGGGAATGGGATGTTGGAACGGGTGGCAAGGAGATGCTGGGGATGTTTGTGTGTGTGTGGTGGGGGTTGGTGGTGGGGGGGTGTGTGGGGGATGAAGGTGAGGATGGGATCATGGGAACTGATTCCCTATGATGGGAATGGGATGTTGGAATGGGTGGCAAGGAGATGCTGGGGATGCTCCATCCTCAAAGCGATGCTGTGACGCAATGGGGACCGATTGGTACCCAAGCGCTGGACCAGCACCAGGGGTGATGCTGAGGAAGAGGAGGATGAAGGGGATGAAGATTGGGATGGGATCATGGGAAGTGATTCCCTATGATGGGAATGGGATGTTGGGATGGGTGGGAAGGAGATGCTGGGGATGCTCCATCCTCAAAGCGATGCTGTGATGCAGTGGGTACCGATTGGTACCCAAGCGCTGGACCAGCACCAGGGGTGATGCTGAGGATGAGGGGATGAAGGGGATGAAGATTGGGGTGGGATCATGGGAAGTGATTCCCTATGATGGGAATGGGATGTTGGGATGGGTGGGAAGGAGATGCTGGGGATGCTCCATCCTCAAAGCGATGCTGTGACGCAATGGGGACCGATTGGTACCCAAGCGCTGGACCAGCACCAGGGGTGATGCTGAGGAAGAGGAGGTGAAGGGGATGAAGATTGGGATGGGATCATGGGAAGTGATTCCCTATGATGGGAATGGGATGTTGGATGGGTGGGAAGGAGATGCTGGGGATGCTCCATCCTCAAAGCGATGCTGTGATGCAGTGGGGACCGATTGGTACCCAAGCACTGGACCAGCACCAGGGGTGATGCTGAGGATGAGGGGATGAAGGGGATGAAGATTGGGATGGGATCATGGGAAGTGATTCCCTATGAGGGGAATGGGATGTTGGAATGGGTGGCAAGGAGATGCTGGGGATGCTCCATCCTCAAAGCGATGCTGTGACGCAGTGGGTACTGATTGGTACCCAAGCGCTGGACCAGCACCAGGGGTGATGCTGAGGATGAGGATAAGGGGATGGGATCATGGGAAGTGATTCCCTATGATGGGAATGGGATGTTGGAATGGGTGGCAAGGAGATGCTGGGGATGCTCCATCCTCAAAGCGATGCTGTGATGCACTGGGGACCGATTGGTACCCAAGCACTGGACCAGCACCAGGGGTGATGCTGAGGATGAGGGGATGAAGGTGAGGATGGGATCATGGGAAGTGATTCCCTATGAGGGGAATGGGATGTTGGATGGGTGGGAAGGAGATGCTGGGGATGAAGGTGAGGATGGGATCATGGGAAGTGATTCCCTATGATGGGAATGGGATGTTGGAATGGGTGGGAAGGAGATGCTGGGGATGAAGGTGAGGATGGGATCATGGGAAGTGATTCCCTATGATGGGAATGGGATGTTGGAATGGGTGGCAAGGAGATGCTGAGGATGCCCCATCCTCAAAGCGATGCTGTGATGCAGTGGGGACCGATTGGTACCCAAGCGCTGGACCAGCACCAGGGATGATGCTGAGGATGAGGGGATGAAGGTGAGGATGGGATCATGGGATGCTATTCCCTATGATGGGAATGGGATGTTGGAATGGGTGGGAAGGAGATGCTGGGGATGCTCCATCCTCAAAGTGATGCTGTGATGCAATGGGTACCGATTGGTACCCAAGTGCTGGACCAGCACCAGGGGTGATGCTGAGGAAGAGGAGGATGAAGGGGATGAAGATTGGGATGGGATCATGGGAAGTGATTCCCTATGAGGGGAATGGGATCTTGGAATGGGTGGGAAGGAGATGCTGGGGATGAAGGTGAGGATGGGATCATGGGAAGTGATTCCCTATGATGGGAATGGGATGTTGGAATGGGTGGCAAGGAGATGCTGGGGATGCCCCATCCTCAAAGCGATGCTGTGACGCACTGGGTACCGATTGGTACCCAATCCCCGCCTCCCCCCCGTTTCTCCATTACCGCATCCCCATCCCAGTCCCCAACTGGGGCCCACTGGGATCAGCCCGTACTTGGCCAGGTGCTTGTCCGCGTCGGCGCAGAGCTCCAGCAGCCCCAGCAGCACGGCCGACACGTCCATGTAGGGCTCCCAGACGGTGAAGCCGCGGCCAATGAGGTCGATGGCGCTGCGGCGGAGGGCACTGGGAGGCGGCGGGCGGGAGCCGGGCGATGGCAGCAGCAGGAAGGTCAGGGCCTTGCCTGGGTAGGGGGGACACAAAGGGGGAATCCCATAGGGAATAATGGGGAGCGTTGGGAACGGGCAGGGATGGCGTTATCCACCTCATCCCGCAACACCAGTAAGGGCTTCCCCCCATCCCATTAAAGGCAAGGAGGGTGTTTTCCACACTTCTGGAATGGGGATAGCATTGCTTTCAAGCACAAAGTGGGATGTGGGAATAAAGGGCCTAACCCCCCCCCCCATAGAACCCTATTCGCTCCCATTGGAGCATCTTCATCTTCCCCCTATCCCAGCTCATCCCATCCTTTCCCTGCCTTAAACCCATGGAGAGTTATGGGATACACAGCACCAGGCTGGTTTCTATGGGAACGGAGCGCGCCCCATCATCCCAATGGGAATAAAGAGCGGGATTGCATGGAGTTATGACTCCCATAGGGAACAGGGGGGTTAATGATGGGCGCCCTGCTGCGTTGCAATGGGATCTGGGGTGCCCGGTCCTGGGGATACTCACACGTGTGCCTGGCTAGGGAATAATCGGCTGCGGTGCCGCTGGTGGAGCCGAAGCCCTCGGGAACCTGGCTGGAGCTGCGGGGCCGTGCCAGGAGCCGGGGGGGCTGGATCTCGGCCCCGAACTCGGCCCCAATGACCCCCAATAGGATGATGGCGGTGGCTTGCTTCCTCCTCTCCTCCGAGGATGAGGAGGAGGATGAGGATGAGGCCTTCTTGAGCGGGGGCAGGCAGGCTGCAAGGGGAGGATGGAAGGGGTGGGAATGGGGCCGGTGCCGTTGGGGAATGGGGGGGTTGTAGGGATGGGGGGGGTGCTCCTGCGTCATCCTCATTGCCAGGATAGGAGCTGTCCCTGTCTGTTGTCCATATACAGCCCCTTAGCATCCATATGGGATGGGTATCCCTGTCTATTATCCATACAGAATGGATATCCCTATCTATTATCCATACAGAATGGATATCCCTATCTATTATCCATACAGAATGGATATCCCTATCTATTATCCATACAGAATGGATATCCCTATCTATTATCCATATGGAACGGATATCCCTGTCTATTATCCCTATAGAACGGATATCCCTATCTATTATCCATACAGAATGGCTATCCCTATCTATTATCCCTATAGAACGGATATCCCTATCTATTATCCATACAGATATGCTCCCAGTGTATCCCAGTCCTTATGGAATGAAATCCTCCCCATATCCCATCCCCTGCTTGGCTGAACCCCATGGATTCGGATCCGGATGTGCATGGAGTAGGGAACAGCTTCCTACAGCATGGGAGCAGCCATTCCCCTCCTCCTGCATCCCTCACTGCATCCCAAGGGATGCATCCCGCCTCCCGCCACCCTAAGGATGCTCTTCACATGAACTGGAAGCACTGGGGAGCTGGGATCGGCTCTATGGAAGCAGCTTTTCCTACTGGATCCATCCCCATAGGAGCGTTCCTCACCCCCATTCCCATTGGAAAACCCATGGAAAAGGCCAAAATCCCTGCGGAACCCAGGCGCATCCCAAACCCATGGCTCATGCCCATAGCCACAGCTCCCTCTTGTGGTCCACATGGGAAGGAGCAGGGATGGGGATGGTGCCGTGCCCTCAAATCCCATGGGATTTTCCCTCTTGTCCCTGCCTAGAGCAGCATGCCCATTGGGAACTGGCCCTAAAGACCCTTAAAGCCACCCCATCCCATAGGGATCCATGCCAGGGATGATTCCCACCTGCTGGAATGTCGTCATCGCCCAGCTCCTGCTCCTCCTCCTGCACCTTGGCTTCTGTTCCCATGGGATCCGGGCTGGTGCTGCCCATCTGCACGGCCTCCGTGCTCACTCCAGCTGCAAACCCCATGCAAAACCCTGGGAATCCATGGGAAAACCCCATTCCCATTCCCAAATCCCACTTTCCCCGGCGTCACGGAGTCATTCCTGCTTGGGAAGCAGGGAACGGCTCATCGATGGGGCAAAGCCCCCTTTGGAGCAGCTTTCCCTATGGGAAGGTGGGATGGGGAAAGGGGGGGGGGGGGGGTTCCCAATGGGGTTATCCCATGGGATTTTCCCCAAGGACTCACGGGATAGGACGCTGTCCATGTAAAGGGGGAGATAGGGAGCCCAAGCATCGATGGTCTCCTTCCTCCCTGCCTGCTCCATGCGGCGCAGCTCAGCCAGCAGCAGGGCCTGCGCCGCCTCCCTCACCTAGGGAAGCCAATGGGAGCATCCCATGGGATGCGGGGCGGGTTTCCCATGGGAATGGGCTGGGATAATGGGGCCAGCATCACCTCCAAGCAGCGGTCCTGCCAGCGGCGCGCCAGCATCTCCAGCAGGGGGGGGCGGAAGGCGGCGGGGCCCAGCAGGTCCGGGAGCATCACGCAGTGCATGGCCGCCAGCTGGCTCCAGCCTGTCCATAGGGAGCATCCCAAGGGAAAAGGCGTGGGATCAGCGGGGGAAACACAGGGAAAAGGGGGGGGGAGTTCCCAAAGCTATGGGGATCCCCGGTTTTATTGCTCTTGGGGATGGAGGGGAACGGATACAGGCCTTACACAGGGGCTGCTGGGAAGGGTTTGGGGCCCTGATTCCATATTGGAGCCCTATAGGATGGATTTACCCCTGGGGATCCCTATAGGTACCCACAGCATCCTTACTCCTAGGAGTATCCCTGTTAAAGAGCTCCCCCCTATGGGTCCAACCCCATTTATTCCCATGTTAGAGCCCTATAGGATGGATTTACCCCTAGGGATCCCTATAGGTACCCACAGCATCCTTACTCCCAGTAGTATCCCTGTTGTACCATAAAGAGCTTCCCCCCTATGGGTCCAACCCCATTTATTCCCATGTTAGATGCTTATAGGATGGATTTACCCCTGGGAATCCCTATAGGTACCCACAGCATCCTTACTCCTAGGAGTATCCCTGTTGTACCATAAAGAGCTCCTTTCCATGGGTCCAACCCCATGTTAGATCCCTATAGGATGGATTTACCCCTAGGCACCCCTATAGGTACCCACAGCATCCCTACTCCTAGTAGTATCCCTGTTGTACCATCAAGAGCTCCAATAGGCTTATATGGAGTAGTTTATGGAGCAGTGCACGGAGGCCCCTGCTCCCTGCTATTCCCTATAGGAAGCAGCGCAGCTCCCAGGCCTTTCCCCCCTTATCCATCCCCTCCTCTTCCTCATCCCTATGGATAACACGGAAGGGAAGAGCCCGGAATACCTTCATTGACCAGGAAAGGGGGGTGGAAAGGAGGAGCAGCGTCGGAAGCGGCTTCGGGATCGCATTCCCCAAGGCAAGAAAAGGAGGAAGAGAGGAAGCAGAGTGAGGAAGGCCAGAGCAGGGATGGGGATGGGAAAGATGGGAAGAGCGGCATTCCAAAGGCTTGGGAAACCCCAATGGCTCGCTGCTCATTGACACCATAGGGCCCTGACCCCAAATCCCAGCTCTTAGGAATGGGAATAGGGAAACCCCGCCCCTATGGATGCTATGGGGTGAATCCTTCCTGTTCCCAATGGGATCGCTGCCACCCTCTCTGTTCCATAGGGAAGGCTGAGGGCATCCCTTCTTTCCCATCTTTGGGAACGCTCTACCACAACCCCTTTGGGATCTCAATGTTCCCAATCCCACATGGCTAAAGAAGAGGGGGCAATGGGGATGTTCTGGGTTATCCAATGGGATATTCCAATGGGATACCCACTGCTGCCATGCCTTTTACCTTGCTTGATGTGTCCTTGGGCTGCAATGGCAGGGGGGGCTTTGGCCCTCGGGGTCTCGGGGGCGCCTGGTCGGGGTGGCCTAAGGAGAACGGGAACAGGGACAAGGGGAAAAAGAGCTGGAAAAGCACTAAAAGGGGGGGAAAAAGCTTGGGAATCCCAGTTCCCATTCCCAGCAAAGCATCAGTGGGGAAAAAGAGGGGAAAACCCCGTTTTGAAGCCATTCCCATAAAGGATGGGGTGGGAAAAACCTCATTTTGAAACCATTCCCATAAAGGATGGGGTGGGAAAAAGGGGCAAAACCTCATTTTGAAGCCGTTCCCATAAAGGATGGGGTGGGAAAAGGGGGAAAACCTCATTTTGAAGCCATTCCCATAAAGGATGGGGTGGGAAAAAGGGGGAAAACCTCATTTTGAAGCCATTCCCATAAAGGATGGGGTGGGGAAAAGGGGGAAAACCTCATTTTGAAGCCGTTCCCATAAAGGATGGGGTGGGAAAAGGGGGAAAACCTCATTTTGAAGCCATTCCCATAAAGGATGGGGTGGGGAAAACCTCATTTTGAAGCCATTTCCATAAAGGATGGGGTGGGGAAAAGGGGGAAAACCTCATTTTGAAGCCGTTTCCATAAAGGATGGAGTGGGGAAAACCTCATTTTGAAGCCATTCCCATAAAGGATGGGGTGGGGAAAAGGGGGAAAACCTCATTTTGAAGCCGTCCCCATAAAGGATGGGGTGGGAAAAAGGGGGAAAACCTCATTTTGAAGCCGTTCCCATAAAGGATGGGGTGGGAAAAAGGGGGAAAACCTCATTTTGAAGCCATTTCCATAAAGGATGGGGTGGGAAAAAGGGGGAAAACCTCATTTTGAAGCCGTTCCCATAAAGGATGGGGTGGGGAAAACCTCATTTTGAAGCCGTTCCCATAAAGGATGGGGTGGGAAAAACCTCATTTTGAAACCATTCCCATAAGGGATGGGGTGGGAACGGGATTCCCAAAGGATGGGGAGCAATGGGATCCATTGGGATGAGGGTTCCCTACCTGGAGGGCCCCTTGTGGGGGTGCTGTCCCAGGAAGGTGGCGTTGGTCATGCTCATGAGCGTGTTGGCCAAGGAGATGATGGAGAGGAGATGCTGCGTGCTCACGGCTCGGGATACCCCATAAGTGCCTTTCCCTATGGGATCCTCGCTCCCTATGGGGTCGGCCCCAAAGGCTCGGTCATAACCCGGCAGCATGAGGGACATGTGGGCCCCCCGGGATAAGAACCCGAAGGCCACGGAGCAATGGGGTTTGAGCATCCCCAAGCGCTCCAAGCAGAGCTGGTCCAAGGCGGGGTGCAGGCCCCAAGCGTGGAGGCAGGACAGGAAGAGCTTGGCCGTATCCATGGTGACGTTGGGCTCCAATAGGGTCAGAGGCTTGCGGTGCTCCCGATGGGCCCCGATCCCATGGGATCCGCTCCCTGCTTCCTCCTCCTCCTCCTCCTCATCCAAGAGATGCTCCTTGATGTTCTCCTTGATGCTCTCCTTGACTTGCTGCAGCAGGACCGCGGCGCGCTGCGGGCTCAGGAAGGAGGAGCCCTTGGGCAGGCCTTGGCAAGCGTCGGGATGGGACTGGGATGGGGACTGGGATGGGCACTGGGAGCAATGGGAAGCTTCCTCGCTCAGCAGCTGCAGGATGAGGGCCTCCACGTCGAAGAAGAGGACGTGGATGGCGGCGTCCCAGGTCGAGGCCTTCAGGGCTTGGACCATGAGGGAGTGAGGGGGGTGCTTGGGGAGGGAGTCCTGGGGAAGGAGAAATGGGGTTAAAGGGGGGGGAAATGGGAGATTTGGGGTGAAAATGGGAGATTTAGGGATAATGGGAGGTTTGGGGTTGAAAACAGCAGATTTGGGGTGAAAAACAGCAGGTTTGGGGTTGAAAACAGCAGATTTGGGGTGAAAACAGCAGATTTAGGGATAATGGGAGGTTTGGGGGGAAAAACAGCAGATTTGGGGTTGAAAACAGCAGATTTGGGGGGAAAAACAGCAGATTTGGGGGGAAAAACAGCAGATTTGGGGTTGAAAACAGCAGATTTGGGGTTGAAAACAGCAGATTTGGGGGGAAAAACAGCAGATTTGGGGTTGAAAGCAGCAGATTTGGGGTGAAAACCAGCAGATTTGGGGTGAAAAACAGCAGATTTGGGGTTGAAAACAGCAGATTTGGGGTTGAAAACAGCAGATTTGGGGTGAAAAACAGCAGGTTTGGGGTTGAAAACAGCAGATTTGGGGGGAAAAACAGCAGATTTGGGGGGAAAACCAGCATCTTTAGGGTGAAAAACAGCAGATTTGGGGTTGAAAACAGCATCTTTAGGGTGAAAAACAGCAGATTTGGGGTGAAGAAGAGCATCTTTAGGGGAAAAACAGCATCTTTAGGGTGAAAAAGAGCAGATTTGGGGGAAGAAGAGTGTCTTTAGGGGAAGAAGAGCATCTTTAGGGTGAACTAAAGCATCTTTAGGGTGAACTAAAGCATCTTTAGGGTGAATTAAAGCATCTTTAGGGTGAATTAAAGCATCTTTAGGGTGAATTAAAGCATCTTTAGGGTGCATTAAAGCATCTTTAGGGTGAACTAAAGCATCTTTAGGGTGAATTAAAGCATCTTTAGGGTGAATTAAAGCATCTTTAGGGTGAATTAAAGCATCTTTAGGGTGAACTAAAGCATCTTTAGGGTGAATTAAAGCATCTTTAGGGTGAATTAAAGCATCTTTAGGGTGAATTAAAGCATCTTTCGGGTGCATTAAAGCATCTTTAGGGTGAATTAAAGCATCTTTAGGGTGAATTAAAGCATCTTTAGGGTGAATTAAAGCATCTTTAGGGTGAATTAAAGCATCTTTAGGGTGCATTAAAGCATCTTTAGGGTGAATTAAAGCATCTTTAGGGTCTAAAGCATCTTTAGGGTGAATTAAAGCATCTTTAGGGTGAATTAAAGCATCTTTAGGGTGAATTAAAGCATCTTTAGGGTGCATTAAAGCATCTTTAGGGTGAATTAAAGCATCTTTAGGGTGAATTAAAGCATCTTTAGGGTGAATTAAAGCATCTTTAGGGTGAATTAAAGCATCTTTAGGGTGAACTAAAGCATCTTTAGGGTGAATTAAAGCATCTTTAGGGTGAATTAAAGCATCTTTAGGGTGAATTAAAGCATCTTTCGGGTGCATTAAAGCATCTTTAGGGTGAATTAAAGCATCTTTAGGGTGAATTAAAGCATCTTTAGGGTGCATTAAAGCATCTTTAAAGCGCACCAGAGCATCTCCTCCCGTCTTCTGTCCCCCTTTCCGCCCCACTCCCCCCATAGTCCCCCAGTTCCCCCACTCCCCCCATTCCCAGTGCCCCCAGTGCCACCTTGCCCGCGGCTCCGGGGGCCAGCAGGTTGGTGGCCAGGCTCTGCAGCTTGTGATGGGCCACGCTCTTGAGGGCCGCCAGGCTCCTCCTGCTCACGGCCTGCTTGAGGTTGAGGGCGCCGTGGCCCAGGGCTTCCGGTGCCGCCTCGGCGCAGGCCGCCAGGATCTCCACACCAGTCGTTCCCATTACGCACCGGTCCAGAGCACCTGGGAATCCCATTGGGGATAGGGGCAACGCTATGGGGTCAATGGGACCACCGCCATGGTGGTGTTGTTAGGGTAACCCCAATGGGAATTGTGGCCCAAAGCACCTGGGAAACCCATTGGGAATAGGGGGAATGCTATGGGGTCAATGGGACCACCGCCATGGTGGTGTTGTTAGGGTAACCCCAATGGGAATTGTGGCCCAAAGCACCTGGGAAACCCATTGGGAATAGGGGCAACGCTATGGGATCGATGGGACCACCGCCATGGTGGTGTTGTTAGGGTAACCCCAATGGGAATTGTGGCCCAAAGCACCTGGGAAACCCATTGGGAATAAGGGCAACGCTATGGGGTCATAAAGGGAACGGGATGCTCGAAGGGAGCACCGCCATGGTGGTGTTGTTAGGGTAACCCCAATGGGAATTGTGGCCCAAAGCACCTGGGAAACCCATTGGGAATAAGGGCAACGCTCTGGGGTCATAAAGGGAACGGGATGCTCGAAGGGACCACCACCATGGTGGTGTTGTTAGGGTAACCCCAATGGGAATTGTGGCCCAAAGCACCTGGGAAACCCATTGGGAATAGGGGCAACGCTATGGGGTCCTAAAGGGAACGGGATGCTCGAAGGGACCACCGCCACGGTGGTGTTGTTAGGGTAACCCCAATGGGAATTGTGGCCCAAAGCACCTGGGAAACCCATTGGGAATAGGGGGAATGCTATGGGATCGATGGGACCACCACCATGGTGGTGTTGTTAGGGTAACCCCAATGGGAATTGTGGCCCAAAGCACCTGGGAAACCCATTGGGAATAAGGGCAACGCTATGGGGTCATAAAGGGAACGGGATGCTCGAAGGGACCACCGCCATGGTGGTGTTGTTAGGGTAACCCCAATGGGAATTGTGGCCCAAAGCACCTGGGAAACCCATTGGGAATAGGGGGAATGCTATGGGATTGATGGGACCACCACCATGGTGGTGTTGTTAGGGTAACCCCAATGGGAATTGTGGCCCAAAGCACCTGGGAAACCCATTGGGAATAGGGGGAATGCTATGGGATCAATGGGACCACCGCCACGGTGGTGTTGTTAGGGTAACCCCAATGGAAACCGGGCCCCATCCCGCTGTTATTCCCGGTTTTCCCTACCCGTATCCATGTGCCACACGTAGACGGAGCCGTCGGAGCACCCCACCACCAGGTAATCCTCGGCAGGCCTCCACTTGATCACTTGGATGGGGAAGAGGTGCCGGGATGCCAGCAGGAGGCACTTGCGCTCCCGCAGGCTCAACAGCGCCACCGAGTGGTCGCCAGCCACCGAGCACACGCATTGCTGCACCCTGCTCTATGGGACAAAACCCATAGGGGACCATTGGGGAGCGCGCTGGGAAAGGGGGAAACCCCAATCCGTGCCCTTTAACAGCGTCCCCATGGGGTGGGCACCCACTCACACTGCAGGTCTCGGGGGGCACCAGGAGCTGGGTGATGTCGCCGCCGTGCACGTGGAACAGATGCTGCATGGCCCCCGAGAAGAGATCCCAAAGGATAACGGTGAAGTCCAAGGAGCCCGAAAGGAGGGCGCTGCGGTCGTAGCGCCCCGCTTCCTGATGGGGGTACAGGAGGCAGGTGACGCGGGCGCGGTGGGCGCGCAGGGTGCGGTGCGGGGGCCAACCTGGGGGGACAGGGAATGGGGGGGGATGAGGATGGGGGATCCCCGGCATCCGCATCCCATTGGGTTGCATGGGGTAAAGGAGCTTTGGGTACCAAATGGGATGCGGGGGAAAGAGGATGCTCATTGGTCCTCATTGAGCTATGAGCATCCTGACCCATCCCAAAGCATTCCCAAGCTTTTCCAAGCAGTGGGATGGAGCTTGGGAAAACAGGAAGCTGGGAATGAGGATGGGAGATTCCCGACACCCGCATCCCATTGGGTTGCATGGGATAAAGGAGCTTTGGGTACCAAATGGGATGCGGTGGAAAGAGGATGCTCATTGGGTTCCAATGGTGATCCCTTGCACCCCATTGTCCCATGAGCATCCCGACTCATCCCAAAGCATTCCCAACCTTTTCCAAGGAGAATAAGGAATGGGATGGAGCTTGGGAGAACAGGAAGTTGGGAATGAGGCTGGGAGATTCCCGACACCCGCATCCCATTGGATTGCATGGGATAAAGGAGCTTTGGGTACCAAATGGGATGCGGGGGAAAGAGGATGCTCATTGGTCCTCATTGAGCTATGAGCATCCTGACCCATCCCAAAGCATTCCCAACCTTTCCCAAGGAGGATAAGGAATGGGATGGAGCCTGGGAGAACAGGAAGCTGGGAATGAGGATGGGAGATTCCCGACATCCGCATCCCATTGGGTTGCATGGGACAAAGGAGCTTTGGGTACCAAATGGGATGCGGGGGAAAGAGGATGCTCATTGGTCCTCATTGAGCTATGAGCATCCTGACCCATCCCAAAGCATTCCCAACCTTTCCCAAGCAGTGGGATGGAGCTTGGGAAAACAGGAAGTTGGGAATGAGGATGGGAGATTCCTGACACCCGCATCCCATTGGATTGCATGGGGTAAAGGAGCTTTGGGTACCAAATGGGATGTGGCAGGAGGGAGAGGATGCTCATTGGGTTCCAATGGGGATCCCTTGCATCCCATTGTGCCATGAGCATCCTGACCCATCCCAAAGGATTCCCAACCTTTTCCAAGGAGGATTGGGGGGATGGAGCTTGGGAAAACAGGAAGTTGGGAATGAGGCTGGGAGATTCCTGACATCTGCATCCCATTGGGTTGCATGGGGTAAAGGAGCTTTGGGTACCAAACGGGATGTGGTGGAAGAGGATGCTCATTGGGTTCCAATGGGGATCCCTTGCATCCCATTGTCCCATGAGCATCCCGACCTATCCCAAAGCATTCCCAACCTTTTCCAAGGAGAATAAGGAATGGGATGGAGCTTGGGAGAACAGGAAGTTGGGAATGAGGCTGGGAGATTCCTGACACCCGCATCCCATTGGATTGCATGGGGTAAAGGAGCTTTGGGTACCAAATGGGATGCGGTGGAAAGAGGATGCTCATTGGGTTCCAATGGGGATCCCTTGCACCCCATTGTCCCATGAGCACCCCAACCCATCCCAAAGCATTCCCAAGGAGGATAAGGAGCGGGATGGAGCTGACGCCTTCCTGCAGCCCCATCCCACAGCCTGGATCCCCTGCCTCCAACCCCATCTCCCAGTTCACCCATTCCCACACCCCAGCGCCCCATTGACGCCTCCCTTTGGCTCTTTCCCCTTCACCCTCGGGAAGGCGGCACCATTCCCAACCCCATTCCCAGTTACCCCTGCGCTGGGCGTGCTCCCCCTGCAGGAGCTGCACCGTGGCCGTCTGGGTGGCGGGGACGATGACGATGCTCCCGTCTTCCCGGCCGCACACCAGGCGCCCATGGAGCGGGATGTAGACGCTGGCGGTCACCTCAATGGGATCGGGGCGGTTCGGGATGCGGCTCAGCTGGTCGATGATCCCGGCCGGATGGGGACGGAGCCGCTCAAAGGCTTCCTGAAGGGATAGGGAAGCCGTGGGCTGCAGGCCTGGAGCACAAGGAAACCATTGGTGAGGATGCTCCGCGTTCCCGCTTGGAATAGCGACCCCATTATCCCAACTGGGATGCTTGGGATACCTTTAGTGGGCTCCAGGGTATCCGGGATGCTCCAAAGGGAAAGCCTTCCCGATGAATCGCCTTGGATGAGGAGCCTGGGAGGCAGAGCCTTGTGGCCGTGGAAGAAGCGGGTGAGCGGAGGGCAGATGAGGAGCTGCGGGATCGGGAATGGGAAGCATGGAAAACCAATGGGAATCACCCGGATACCCCCCCCTTTCCCTAAGGGATCGATCCCAAAGGGTTTCCGGGAATAGGAACCGGTTGCTTTCACCTCTTGCTCCGCTCTATCCAGCACGGCGAGCAAGGAAGGTGGGATGCGCTTGTCCATGCTCATCCCAACGGAGCTCCGGAAGGAAGCGCTGGCTGGGAGGCAACTGGGAGAACGGGGATAAAGGGATGGGGAAGGCGGAATGGAGGCCGTTGAGCGCCGTTCCCATTGGGATACAGGGAACACCGGGAACGCCGCTGCGGTCCCTACCTGCTTGGTAGCCCATAGATGAAGCTCCGCCCCTCCTCGCTCCATACAATGACCCGCTCCAGGGCCAGGAATTCCCCCCCGCTCCAAGCCCGTTGCTTCCCAATGGGAACGGAGCAGAGCAGGGAATAATCCCCAGCATCCAGGAGCTGCAGGGAAGCAATGGGGGGGTGATGCAATGGGATTCCCTATGGAAAAGGCGCATCCCATGGGATGGGGCTGTTACCTGCCAGGACTGGGAGCAGACGAGCAGCAGGGAGCTGGCGGCGAAGGGGCACAGGGAGAGGCTCCGGCAGTTGGGGTAAGAGAGGGGCTTGGACTCCTCCTCGAAGAGCGGGGCCGCGTCCTAGGGGATTCCCATGGGAATGGGGGGGAAGGACTCGACGCTGGGGGAGCGGGGCCATTGGGAAGCATTGGGGGGGGGGGGGTGTTCCCTTTGGAAGGGCGGCGTTCCCGAGGGATGCGGGGCGGGGAAAGGGAGGGATGGGACTGGGAAAGAGGGGGATATGGGGGGGGGGAACCCATATCTCAATGGGGGCACCCTTAAGGGGAGCACCCCTGTGTCAATGGGGGCACCCCTGTCTCAATGGGGGCACCCCTGTCTCAATGGGGGCACCCTTAAGGGGAGGACCCATATCTCAGTGGGGGCACCCCTATCTCAATGGGGACACCCTTAAGGGGAGCACCCCAATCTCAATGGGGACACCCCTGTCTCAATGGGGGCACCCATATCTCAATGGGAGCACTCCTGTCTCAATGGGGACACCCCTATCTCAATGGGGACACCCCTATCGCAATGGGGACACCCCTATCTCAATGGGGACACCCCAATCTCAATGGGGACACCCCTATCGCAATGGGGACACCCCTATCTCAATGGGGACACCCCTATCTCAATGGGGACACCCCTATCGCAATGGGGACACCCCTATCTCAATAGGGGCACCCCATATCTCAACGGGGGCACCCCTATCTCCACACTAACACCAATTATTAAGCAAAACAAGGAAAAACCGGGCTTTTTCCTAATGAAATCCATGGAAAAGTTGGGAATTCTCCCCCAAAGCGATGGAACAGGATGGGATCCCGTGCTCCATGGGCACAGTGGGAACCCCGACGGGAGCATTCCCAACAGCAGGAATAACCCCGATACCCTCCCTTTCCCTTACCTGCATCCCAGGCGATGCTCCCGAGGCGATGCTCCACACCTTGAGGGTGCCGGTGACGGATACGGCCATCACCGTGTCCTCTGGGCGGGGGCACAAAACAGAGCCCCCATTAACCCCTATGAGCCGCTCCCCCTTGGGACTCATGGAATACCATGGGAACCCCTCCCTTTTCCCTTGGGATTCATGGAATACCATGGAAAACCCCCCTTTTCCCTTGGGATTCATGGAATACCATGGGAAACCCCCTCCCTTTTCCCTTGGGATTCATGGAATACCATGGAAAACCCCCTCCCTTTTCCCTTGGGATCCATGGAATACCATGGAAAACCCCCTCCCTTTTCCCTTGGGATCCATGGAATACCATGGGAAACCCCCTCCCTTTTCCCTTGGGATCCATGGAATACCATGGGAACCCCCCCCTTTTCCCTTGGGATCCATGGAATACCATGGAAACCCCCCCTTTTCCCTTGGGATCCATGGAATACCATGGAAACCCCCCCCCCTTTTCCCTTGGGATCCATGGAATACCATGGGAAACCCCCTCCTTTTCCTTGGGATTCATGGAATACCATGGGAAACCCCCCCTTTTCTTGGGATTCATGGAATACCATGGGAAACCCCCTCCCTTTTCCCTTGGGATCCATGGAATACCATGGGAAACCCCCTCCCCTTTCCCTTGGGATTCATGGAATACCATGGAAACCCCCCCCCTTTTCCCTTGGGATCCATGGAATACCATGGGAAACCCCCCCCTTTTCCCTTGGGATTCATGGAATACCATGGGAAACCCCCTCCCTTTTCCCTTGGGATTCATGGAATCCCATGGGAAACCCCCCGATACCTTGGTTCCGTGCGGATGGGACGATGCTGATGGCGCTGATCCAATCGGGAGCGATCCTGGATAACAGGGAATAGAGCACCTCCAGGCTGGCGGCATCCAGGACGAGGATCTCGGGATACTGGCCGTGGCAAAGCAGCCTCCCTTCCCGCTGGGATCCCACGGGGCTCTGGTAGAACTGGTGGAGCAGCGGTATTGCAGTGGGGATAGGGGATTCCCCGTTATCCCAGTGGGATGGCTCCCGGCTCACCTGGATGCCTGTGTGGGTGCAGGCCAGCTTGGTGAACTCGAGGCAGCGCCCGTCGGTGACATCCCATAAACACAGCTCTCTAGGGGGAAAGGGGAACAGTGGGAATGGCAGCGCGGCTGCTGCGCCTCATTGGGGAACACTGATGGGGGGGGATGGGGGCTTGGGGTCGCATCACAAATCCCAATCCCTTCCCAATCCCTTCCCATCCCCAATCCCTTCCCAATCCCTTCCCATCCCCGATCCCTTCCCATCCCCGATCCCTTCCCATCCCCGATCCCTTCCCATCCCCGATCCCTTCCCATCCCCGATCCCTTCCCATCCCCGATCCCTTCCCATCCCCGATCCCTTCCCATCCCCGATCCCATCCCATCCCCGATCCCTTCCCATCCCCGATCCCTTCCCATCCCCGATCCCTTCCCATCCCCGATCCCTTCCCATCCCCGATCCCTTCCCATCCCCGATCCCTTCCCATCCCCGATCCCTTCCCATCCCCGATCCCTTCCAATCCCCGATCCCTTCCCATCCCCGATCCCTTCCCATCCCCGATCCCATCCCATCCCCGATCCCATCCCATCCCCAATCCCTTCCCATCCCCAATCCCTCCATCCCCGATCCATCCCATCCCCGATCCCTTCCCATCCCCGATCCCTTCCCATCCCCGATCCCTTCCCATCCCCGATCCCTTCCCATCCCCGATCCCTTCCCATCCCCCATCCCATCCCATCCCCAATCCCTTCCCATCCCCAATCCCTTCCCATCCCCAATCCCTTCCCATCCCCAATCCCTTCCCATCCCCAATCCCATCCCATCCCCGATCCCTTCCATCCCCGATCCCTTCCCATCCCCATCCATCCCATCCCCAATCCCTTCCCATCCCCAATCCCCATCCCCAATCCCTTCCCATCCCCATCCATCCCATCCCCAATCCCTTCCCATCCCCAATCCCTTCCCATCCCCAATCCCATCCCATCCCAATCCCTTCCCATCCCCAATCCCTTCCCATCCCCAATCCCTTCCCATCCCCCATCCCATCCCATCCCCAATCCCTTCCCATCCCCAATCCCTTCCCATCCCCAATCCCTTCCCATCCCCAATCCCATCCCATCCCCGATCCCTTCCCATCCCCAATCCCTTCCCATCCCCAATCCCATCCCATCCCCAATCCCATCCCAAACCCCAATCCCTTCCCACCCCCAATCCCTTCCCATCCCCAATCCCATCCCATCCCCAATCCCTTCCCATCCCCAATCCCTTCCCATCTCCAATCCCTTCCCATCCCCAATCCCATCCCATCCCCAATCCCATCCCATCCCCGTTTCCCATGGGATGTTCCCACTGCGGTCCCCATTCCCGAGGCCGGGATGCGGGGCTGATCCCATAGGAACTCACCCGCTCTCCGAGGCGCTCACCACGTGGGGCTGCTGCCCGGCCCCCGAGCCCTTGGCCAGGCAGGTGATGGAGCCCGAGTGGCCAAAGAGCAGGGCCCGAGGCTTCAGCTGGGGGGACAGGGCCCGAATGCACCTGATCCCATGGGATCCGTGTCCCAATCCCATGGGATACACATCCTAACCCCATGGGATACACGTCCCGACCCCATGGGATACGCATCCCAATATCATGGGATACTCCTCCCCACCCCATGGGATACACGTCCTGACCCCATGGGATACACGTCCCGACCCCATGGGATACACGTCCCGATCCCATGGGATACACATCCCAATATCCATGGGATACACATCCCCATCCCATGGGATCCACGTCCCCATCCCATGGGATACACATCCCCATCCCATGGGATCCACGTCCCCATCCCATGGGATACACATCCCCATCCCATGGGATCCACGTCCCCATCCCATGGGATCCACGTCCCCATCCCATGGGATCCACGTCCCCATCCCATGGGATACACGTCCCCATCCCATGGGATACACGTCCCCATCCCATGGGATACACATCCCCATCCCATGGGATACACATCCCAAATCCCATGGGATACGCATCCCGACCCCATGGGATACATGTCCCCATCCCATGGGATACACATCCCAATCCCATGGGATACGCATCCCCATCCCATAGGATCCGCATCCCCATCCCATAGGATACGCATCCCCATCCCATTGGATCCGCATCCCACCCATCCAGCATGGAAAACCCCCCGTGTATAACATAAGCAACACCACAAGCCCCTATCCACAGCCCTATTATGGGATGGATCCCCTCCTTTGCACAGCATCCCTTCTACCCCCGCAGCCACTAACCCTATCGGAAGGCAACGGCTCCCCATCCCTTTCCCTGCTTAAACCCATTGGGATTCGGGATAAGGCACCCCTTTATCCACCCCACAACCAGGATTGGGCCCTGCCATCCATTCCCTTTATGGGATAAGGATGCTTTCACTATGGGGGGGAGCCATCCCATAGCGGCATTCCTTAGGATATTGGGAACACCCATAGCATCACATGGAAAACGGGAACAATGGCAAAGGGGTTGGAAGGTGACGATGTTATGGTGTTTCCCAACCCTATTATAGGATTCTATGGGCTCCATGCCCAAAGGAGCGGCGCATAGGGGAGAACAGCGGGGTTCCCCCTTTACCTGCAGGTCCGGAGCCAGGTCCCAAAGGCAGAGCTGCCCGTCCTGGCAGCCCGTCACCACCACGGGCACCTCATCCATGAGGAGCAAGGAGGACACGCAGTGAGTGGGGGCCCGGCGGCCCCATAGCACAATGGGCAGGACCAGGCTGTTCCCGGCCATGGGGCTGTGATACCTAAGGGGAAAGCAGGGATCCATAGGGATAACGGTGTTCCTCATGGTGGGAATGAGCCCATTGGAGCGGTTTCATCGGCGTTTGGGGCTGATTCCTGCCCTTTTTCCATGTGGGAATAGCATGGAGGCAAAGGGAAATAGTGGGATGCGCTGCATGTTGGGGCATGGGAAATGGGAGAAGAGCAGGAATAAACCCGGAATACATTACAATAAATAGGGGAAAAGCATCCTCGCTTGGGATTCCAGCCCTCTGGAACGCCACCGGCCCCCATTCACTGCTGGAACGGGGTCTTAGACACTGAATATCAATAGAAACATAAAGGCATAGGGCTGCTGCAAAGCGTTCCCAACGCAGCTCCCACGGCATTCCCAATGGGAATAGGAAACAGTTAATACATAAACCCTTCTTCCCCCTTTAGGGGTTAAACCAAGCCCCCCCCATTGCCCTTAAGGGTTAAACCGAGCCCTTCCTTTCCCTTTCCATCTGCATCACCCCTGCTTAGCACCAAACCCCCCCCCGCCGCCATTAGAAGCCGTTTAATCCCTACCAAGGCTTATCCCTTCCGTTACCGGAGCACGCAACCGAGCCTGCCTGCGGCCTACACCCCCGAACCGGACCCAACCCCGCTGTATAACGGGGGGTATCCGGTAGCACGGTGTTAGAAACCCGTCCCCCCCCACAACACGGCCCCGTTCAATGGGGCCTGAGGAGGAACCGGGCCCCGTTACCGCTGGCTCCCGCTCCCGGCGCCGCTGACAGGGCCGCAAAGCGCCGCCGGCTGTCGTGATGCGGGCGCCGCTGTCGTAAAACCCGCCCGGCCCCCGCCGTGTTCACTGACGGCAGGAGGCGTCGCCATAGCGACCGTGCGGAGGGGCTGAGGTGATGGCGGGGTTCAATGGCTTCCCTGCCTCTGCCTCAGCCCCGGCCCTCCGTGGGCCGCAATGAGGAGCGGCGGGGACCCGGAGGGCTCCGGTACCGGCGGCACGGCGGTTACCCGTGGGTTGCAGCGCATTCTTCCCCTTCCCAGCCGTTTAATGGCGGTAAGGCATTGGGAAGGAGGTGGATTTGACCCAGGGTTAACCGAAGGGGAGCAGCTTTACCTCAGCGGCTGGCGGCGGCCTCCGTCCCCGGTGCCTTGCGCATCCCCTCAGCCACGGCGCCTCCTCCGCTTCCACCCGTCACTCGTGGGTCATAAACCCCGCGGTTACAGCCCTCATCCTGTCCCAAAGCTGGAATCGGCTCCTCCCGATCCCATAGGATCAACCCCGCCCGCCCCAACGCCCCGCCTTCCCCCTCAGCCCGCCTCAGCCCAACATGGCGGCCGCGCCACACCCCCTAAAATGGCCGCCGGCTCCCTCTGCCCTCGCTCAAAATGGCGGCCGCTCCCTGCATACCCCGTGCTTACCCTTACCTAAAATGGCCGCCGCCTCCCTTTGCCCTCACCCAAAATGGCGGTCGCGCCACACCCCCCTCCTTTTACCCTCACCTGAAAAGACCGCCGGTTCCTTTTCCCCTTACCCAAAACAGGGACCGCGCCACACCTCCTCCCTTGCCCTTACCTGAGAAGGCCGCCGGTTCCTTTTCCCCTTGCCCAAGATGGGGACCGCCCCACATCAACCCCTTTGCCCTTACCTAAAATGGCCGCCGCTCCCTTCGCCCTCAGCCGAAATGGCGGCCGAACCTCACTCCCCTCCTTTGCCCTTACCTAAAATGTCCGCCGCTTCCCTTTGCCCTCACCCAAAAAGGGGGGGCGTGCCACCGCCCCCCCCTTTTCCCTCACATAAATGTTCACCGCGTCCCTTTGCCATCACCCAAAATGGCGGCCTCGCCACACCCCGCCTTTTCCCTTACCTAAAATGTCCGCCTCTCCCTTTGCCCTCACCCAAAATGGCGGCCGCGACACCGCCTCCCCCCTTTTCCCTTACATAAATGTTCACCGCCTCCTTTTGCCCTCACCCAAAATGGCGGCCGCGCCACCTCCCCCTTTTCCCTTACCTAAAATGTCCGCCGCTCCCTTTGCCCTCACCCAAAATGGCGGCCGTGCCTCCTCCCCCTTTTCCCTTATCTAAAATGTCCGCCGCTCCCTTTGCCCTCACCCAAAATGGCGGCCGCGCTGTCAGCGACGCATGCGTCGCGCGGTGCACGCCGGACGCCGCTTCCGGCCGTGACGCTGCAGATCGCGCCGGGTCCCTCCTCCGCCGGTGCCGCTGCCGGTGCCGGTGCCGCTTCCTCCTCCTCCTCTTCCTCCTCCTTCCTCCTCGTCCCGGCGCCATGGGGGGGGTGAAGGTGATCGCGAACGACGCCGAGTTCCAGCCGGAGCTGGGCGCCGCCGGCTCCCGCTTGGCCGTGGTCAAGTTCACCATGCGCGGGTGAGCGGGCCCGGAGCAGGCCCGGCGCAGGCCTTTGCGGCCTAGGGAAGCGTTCGCTTCCCGACGCGATCCCATGGGATTGGGGCTGTTCCCGCTTCCCTTGGGATGCGCATCCCTATGGATCCCTCTGCTGTATCCGCAGCTGCGGGCCTTGCTTGAGGATAGCGCCGGCCTTCAGCTCCCTGAGCACCAAGTACCCGCAGGCCGCCTTCCTGGAGGTGGACGTGCACCAGTGCCAGGTGGGAATTGCGCTTGGGAAAGGCCGGGAAGAGACCCCCATTCCATAGGGATTCAATGGGGGAAACGCTTGGGGGTGTGTGGGGGGGTGGAGGTGAGTGGGAATTCTGCTTGGGAAAGGGTGGGAAGAGACCCCATTCCATAAGGATTCAATGGGGGTTAATGGGAATTCTGCTTGGGAAGAGACCCCATTCTATAAGGATTCAGTGGGGGTGATGGAGGTGAATGGGAATTCCGCTTGGGAATACACCCGAATCCATAAGGATTCAATGGGGTTGATGGAGGTGAGTGGGAATTCTGCTTGGGAAGAGACCCCATTCCATAAGGACTCAATGGGGGTTAATGGGAATTCCGCTTGGGAAGAGACCCCATTCCATAAGGACTCAATGGGGGTTAATGGGAATTCCGCTTGGGAAGAGACCCCATTCCATAAGGATTCAATGGGGGTGACTGGGAATTCTGCTTGGGAAGAGAGCCCATTCCATAAGGACTCAATGGGACTGAATGGGCCTCAATGGGACTCAATGGGCCTCCATGGGCCTCAATGGGCCTCCATGGGCCTCAATGGGACTCAATGGGCCTCAATGGGACTCAATGGGCCTCAATGGGCCTCCATGGGCCTCAATGGGCCTCCATGGGCCTCAATGGGCCTCAATGGGCCTCAATGGGATTCAATGGGACTGAATGGGCCTCAATGGGCCTCCATGAGCCTCCATGGGACTGAATGGGCCTCCATGGGACTGAATGTGCCTTCCCGCCTTGGGGACCGGCGTCTTGGCAGGGCACGGCGGCCGCCAACGGCATCGCGGCGACGCCGACGTTCCTGTTCTTCCGGAACAAAGTGCGCCTGGAGCAGTACCAGGGCGCCGACCCCCTGGGGCTGGAGGAGAAGATCAGGCAGCTCCTGGAGAACGAGCCCGGGCCCGGCGACGCCGCCGACATCCCCAAGGGATACGTATGGAATCCCTGGGGGGGGGGAACCCGATGGGGTGCTCTGCAGCTCTGCCTCTGCTGTGGGGGGAGCGTTCCTTATGGGATAGAGGGATCATTCCCTTTGGGATATAGGGATCATTGCCTATCGGATAGACAGATCGTTTCCTATGGGATGGAGGGAGTGTTCACCATGGGATATAGGGAGCATTCCCTATAGGATGCAGGGATCATTCCCTATGCGATGGAGGGATCATTCCCTATACAATGGAGGGAGCATTCGCTATGAGATATAGGGATCATTCCTTATGGGATATAGGGCTCATTCCTTCTGGGATATAGGGATCATCCCCTATGGGATGCAGGGCTCACCCCCATCCCCCCCAACCAGCACCCCCACCCTTACCCCCCTCCCCCATTCCCCATAGCCCCCCATTGCCCCCCATTCCCAGATGGATCTGCTGCCCTTTGTACCCCCCATTCCCCATAGCCCCCCGTTCCCCATAGCCCCCCACCCATAGCCCCTTATATCCCCCCATATCCCCATAGCTCCCCATAGCCCCCTAGCCCCCATAGCCCTATATGCCCCCATATCCCCATATCCCCCCATAGCCCCCCATAGCCCCCCATAGCCCCATAGCGCCCCATATCCCCCCATACCCCCAGATGGACCTGCTGCCCTTTGTACCCCCCATTCCCCATAGCCCCCCGTTCCCCATAGCCCCCCATTCCCCATAGCCCCCCATAGCCCCCCATTCCCCATAGCCCCCCTATAGCCCCCCATATCCCCCCAGATGGACCTGCTGCCCTTTGTACCCCTCTCCCCCCATAGTCCCCCTATAGCCCCCCATAGCCCCCATATCCCCCCCATAGCCCCCCATAGCCCCCCATAGCCCCCCATATCCCCCCATAGCGCCCCATAGCCCCCCATATCCCCCCATATCCCCCCATTGCCCATAGCCCCCCATAGCCCCCCATAGCGCCCCCATGCCCCCAGATGGACCTGCTGCCCTTCGTGAACCGGGCGGGCTGCGAGTGCCTCAACGAGAGCGACGAGCACGGCTTCGAGAACTGCCTGCGCCG